TAATGCCCCGAGTGTTTTTTAAAGGTCACAAAAGCCCCAAAAAAATGTTTAAAGGTCCTAAATGCCAAAAGTGTTTAATGGCAAATAACTGCCAAGTGTGTTAATGGTCACAAAAAGCCAGAGTGTGTTAATGGTCAACCCGCCCCAAAGGGGGTTAAAAGGTCACTAAATGCCAAGGGGTGTTTAAAGGTCAACCAAATGCCAGAGTGTGTTAATGGTCACCCAACTGCCCGAGCGTGTTTAAAGGGCAAATAACTCCAGAGTTTTGTTAATGGCACTTTCCCGCCAAGTGTGGTTTAAAAATCCACTAAAAAGCCAAAAGTGTGTTTAAAGGCCCCAAAATTCCAGAGTGTGTTAAAGGCACTAGGCCAAGTGTGTTAATGGGCCCCTTTAACCCGCCAGAGTGGGGTTAATGGTCACTAAATGCCAGAGTGTGTTAATGGTCCCTAAATTTGGGCCCGAGTGTGTTAAAGGTCCCTAATGGCCAAAGTGTGTTAATGGTCCCAAAAACTGCCAGAGGGGTGTTAAAGGGCCCCTAACGCCCGATTTTGTTAAAGGTCACAAATGGGCCATAGTGTTTAATGGCACTAAATGCCCCGAGTGTGTTAATGGCACTAACTGCCAGAGTGGGGTTAAAGGGGCACTAACCCGCCAGATGTTTTAATTTGGGACTAACTTTCCCGAGTTTGTTAATGGTCACTAAACTGCCAGAGTGTGTTAATGTCCTAACGCCAGAGTGTGTTAATGGTCAAAAACTGCCAGAGTGGGGTTAAATTTGGAAATAACTTTCCAGAGTGTTTTAATGGCACTAAAATGCCAGAGTGTGGTTTAAAGGTCCCCAACTGCCAGAGGTGGTTTAAAGGTCACTTTAAATGCCAGATGTTTTTAATGTCAAATTTTGGGGGAAGTTTTTGGTTTTAAGGGTTTACTAAAACTGCCAAGTGTTTTTAATGGTCCAACTAACTGCCAAGTGTGGTTTTAAAGGGCAAAAATTGGCCCCGTTTTTTGGTTTTAAGGCACTAATGGCCAAGTGGTTAAAGGTCACTACTGCCAAGTGTGTTAATGGGCACTAACGCCAGAGTGTGGTTTAAAGGGCCTAACGCCCGAGTGTGTTAATGGGCCCCTAACTGCCCAAATGTGTTATGGTCACTAAATGCCGAGTGTGTTAAAGGTCCAAAAACTCCAAGTGGGGGTTTTAAAGGTCACTAATGACCAAGTGTGTTAAAAGGTCACAAAATGCCAGAGGTGTTAATGGCCTAACTGCCAGATGGGGTTAATGGGGGCAAATAACTGCCCCAAATGTGTTAAAAGGCACTAACTGCCAGAGTGTTTAATGGTTTACAAAAGGGGCCCAAAGGGTTAATGGTCACTAAAAGCCAGGGGTGTGTTAATGGTCACTAAAATTTCCAGTTGGGTTTAAAGGTCACTAACGGCCAGGGTGTTAATGGCAAAAAACTGCCCGATGTGTTTTAAAAGTCACTAACTGCCAGAGTGTTTAATGGCACAACTGCCTGAGGTTTAAAGGTCACTGGGCCCGAAGTTGTTAAGGTCCACAACCCGCCAGAAATGTGGTTTTAAAGGGCACAAACTGCCAATGTGTTTTAAGGGCACTAACGCCAAGGTGTTAAAAGGTCACTAAAGCCAGAGTGTGTTAAAAGGGGCCCAACTGCCAAAGTTAATGGTCCCCTAACGCCGAGTGTGTTAAAGGTCACAACTGCCCGAGTGTGTTAATTTGGGCACTAACTGCCCAAATGTTAATGGGAAATAACGGGCCGAGAGGGTGTTTAATGGGCACTAACTGCCAAAAGTGTGTTTTAATTTGGGCACTGCCAGAGGTTGGGTTTAAAGGTCCCCTAACTGCCCAAATTTTGGGTTTAAAGGTCACTAACTGCCAGAGTGCGTTTAAAGGGCACTGCCAGAGTGTGTTTTAAAGGGCACTAACTGCCAGAAAAGGGGTTAATTTTCACAACTCCGAGTGTGTTTTAAAGGTTTACTAACCCCCAATGGGGTTAATGGTCACTAACGCCAGAGTGATTTAATGGTCACTAAATGCCATAAATGTTTTTAAGGTCCCTAACTGCCAATGTGTTATGGCCAAACTGCCAGAGTGTGGTTTTAAAGGTCCTAACTGCCCGAGTGTGTTAAAAGGGGCAAAAAACCGCCAAGTGTGTTTTAAAAACACTAACTTCCCGAGTGTGGGTTTAAAGGGCCCTAACTTCCAGAGTTGTTTTTTGGGCACTAACGCCCCGAGTGTGTTAAGGTCCCCTAACGCCAAAAGTGGGTTTAAAGGTCACTAAACCCGCCAGAGTGTGTTAATGGTCACTAACTGCCGAGTGGGGGTTAATGGCACAACCCGCCAGAGTGTGTTAATGGGGCCCCCTGCCAGAGTGTTTAAAAATCACTAAACCTGCCAGAGTTAAGAGAGGTTTTCACACGAACCCTTCTGTTTTTCTGGGAAAATTTTCGAAATTACACAAAAATTTTATGAACTTTTGGATGATTTTTTTTAGAGGAAGGATAGGAAAAAAAAACTTTTTTAAATCCTAGTGGGAATTTTTTCCTATATATTTTAAAAAAAATATATATATTTAAAGATTAAAAAAATTAAAATTACAATTTTAATTTTTTCCCCAAAAAAACCGTTTAAAACTAAAAAAGTTTTAAGAATTTTTTCGCCCGTTTAAATTTTAAAAAATTTAAAGATTTTTTCATCTCAAAGATATTTTAACCCAAAAATTTAAACCCTTTACAGGGGGAAAAGAAAAATTGGGAAAAAATTTAAAAAACCCCCCCCACATCCTCGACTTTTAAAAGAAAGTTTTTTTAAAACATTTTTTCCTCTAGTGGGGGGGGGGGGAAAAAGGGGGGGTTGTTAGGGGCCTCAAAAAGGGAAAAAACCAAAGGGACGGGGGGGCAAAAGGGTGGGGACGGGGGGCCCCGGGGGGGCACGGGTTGGGGACGAAATGGGCAAAACCCTTTTTAAGTGTTTCGGGCCAAAGTCGGCCATAAACTTTTTAAAACAAAAACTTTTGGAACCCAAAAAGGGTTATTTCCCCCTTTTCTTGGGAAAGAATACGGAAAAAGTTTGCATTTTTTTTTTTTTTGGGGGGGGGGTGAAAAACCCAAGGGTTTTGTGCCGGGGAAAAAAGTCGGGGGGTGCCAAAAGGGTTTTGGCACTCGGCTAATTGGGTTTACCCACCCCTGGCCTAGGGCCCTCTTTACCCAAATCCCCTCACGTGTTTAGAAGCGTTTTAAACGGGAAAAAAAACAATTTAAATTTTAAAACCCCTTTTTAAAAAATACCCAAAAAAAAGATCCTATTTTTTTTTTGTTTTTTTTGAATTTTAAAAATTACAACTTTTTGAGCCATCACAGAGTCCACTATATTTTTCATATTGTTGTTAACTTCCACAAAAATTTTTTCCAAGGCTTTTTTAATTTTTAAATTGATTTAAAAACAAAGTGATTAGGGTCAAATTTTTAACCTTTGTGAAATATATCAAATGGAAGGGGTTTAAAGGGCCCACTTTTTCAAAATGCAGGTTCCTCATTAAATTGTTTATAAAAAATCAAAAAACCTTTGAAAACCTCTTGTGTATTGTTTTCTGGAAGATGATTCTTTTTGTTTTAAGTGTGAGGTGTTTTTTTTGCCAAATTTTAAAATCGAAAAATTTTTTAAATTTTTGTTTTTTGGGTTAAATAACCTGATTTACAAACATGTTTTGGGGAAAAAAATACCCAAAACAAGTAAATTTTTGCAAAATTATCTCAATCTTTCCCCAATTCCCGTAATATGCCATTTTATCCTAGTTTTAAAGTTTTGCCCCTTTCCGGGAACAAAACGGCCGAGGGGCCCTTGCTATCTCGCTCATCAGGTCCAGTGATCAAATTTTCCCCAAAACATCGCCTACTTCGCTGTGCTCACAAACCCCGCCAGATTCTCTCCTCGCTGCTGTGGGGCCGTATGAGTCCTTCCCCGTTTTTGTTTAATTTAAAAAAAACCCATACCATGTCAAGGGAAAAAAACGCGGTATAGAAAAAAACCCTTTTATTGCGACAAAAGCTTTTTTTTCTGTAATAAAAGCTTTATTTTAAAACTTGATAAAAAAACAACACAAAGGGAAAACTGGTCCCAATAAAATTTTGATCCACAGGTGCCTTTCCCCTTTTCATTGGGCAGCAGCACGGGCCCCTTTGATCGGGGACCCGTATTTTTTTTGATACACATGAAAACAAAATCCCCCCAGATTTTAAATTTCCCGTCTTAAATTTTATCACGCGGTTTTGGGAATTTTTTCTTTACGTAAAAAGCTTCCAACCTGAGATTGGGGGCCAGTAGAAATACTTTCCAAGGTTTTCACTAAATGTTAGGAAGCCATGGGATCTTCAGAATTTTCGTTCTAGGGTACTTCAAGTTATCCTTGTTATCAACCCTTAAATTGTCAGTGTTGGTTAACAGCACAGAATGCGATGTATACGGAATGTATATGTATGACTGTGACATCGACACATGCCTAACCCTTCTAGGTAGGCTAGGTGCCTGAGCCCGAGCCTTTAGCTCATAAGACTGTCATTCCCATTAGTCCCCTTGGGGCGGGGATGACAGACCAGAGAGGCCTAGCTTGTGGCTAGGCCTGGGGACAGTTGGTCCCAAAGATGAGGAGGTACTTGTGCCTCCTCCGATGGGAGACTTAGGTCTCAGACACTCCCTAAAGAGGGAGCCAAGGCCGGGCCACCACTTGGACAAGGCCTGGGCCGGGAGAATACCGGCTAATCTTTAACTAACTAACTAACTATGACTGTGATATTCCTTGTCTTACCCACAGTACGTCAATACACTTCTTGTATTTAATTTTAATAATAGGAGGTTAGTTCTTCCCACACATGTGCCTCATATGTTAGATATATTGTGACGCTCAGGTACAAGCCATAAATATTTCCTCTTATATATTTTACTAATGTATGTGCATATAATGCCATCGACAATTCTTCCCTTACAGTCAAGTGGAGACATTAGAGATTGTAACATCCTATGGCAGTCTCAAACATGATGCGAGATAATAACAGGAATGCAATATATATATATATATATATATATATATATATATTTTAATATATATATATATATATATATAATATGTCGTGCCGAATATGTAAAACTTTTCAATTAGCAAGAATTCATTTAAAATATGTCCTTTCTAAAAATTTTCTCTTATACGTTTAAAGATATATTTTTTTCATTAATGTTAATGTAAAAATTTATAATTTTGTACCAAAGAATCTTAGAAAACTTACCTAACCTTATTATAACAAGCGCAATTTATTTTTCCTAACCCAACTAAATATATTTTAGATTTTGTTTACAATAATTTAATACTAAACAAACACAGTGAAATATGTTTTTTTCGTTAGGTTCAGAATGATTTTGCAAAATTATTGCATACACAAATTTTCACTTGTCCTATATAGCAAGATGAACGTTGCTATTTAAGCCAAGATCGCAAGTTCTGCCTATTCGGCACGACATATATATATATATATAATATATATATATATATATATATATATATATATATAATATATAATATATATAATATATATATATATATATATATATAAACTTATTCTGTTCAATCTACTTTGTTTTATGAATAGATGAGATATACAAAATAAAATGGAATTTGGAAATGCTGAAAATATCACAAAAATAAATATTAAGAATTTAGATTCAATAATGTACCAGCAGCATTTTCTCACGCATCACCACCACCACCACTACAACTTTACCTCCCAATTGTTTGTCGACTTAATAAGGTCTCCCGACTGTCTGGAGCCACAGGGATAAATAGAAAAATGCAATAATAAAGGCTTTTATTCATAGAACGTGTTCAATGTGTCCAGTATTATAACTGATATACGAATACAGATGTATCCAGCCAACAAGTACACGGTGAATGGTATTAGTAATGATGGAGTTACATGCATCGCTGATATAAAGTAATTTGTAACTTCGCTACTTACAACGATGCATGATGCAATCTGTTCTACAATGGGATGTCAGTATTTCTATGCAGTTGTCTGAGATGGCACTATGGTTTATCAGGATTAGGGATACATTTCTCATCATGATTAAGTGTCCATACATAGTTCCACGCAAAGTAAGGTTGTGTTTGGACTCTTTGAATATTTACGGTCTATGCTTTGGTAGCGTGCCCTAATTATGAGGAATTTCAGGGCATCACCCGTTTCTGGTAATAGGTCCGGCTTCCTTGCTCTAGAGAAAAGTAAATATCGAGCACAGTTGCTTGTTTCCACGGAATTTGGCACATTTCACTCCTTGTATAAAAAATTTTCAACCAAGTCAATATCTTCCTGTGTTAGAGCGCCTTCACTTTGGCCACAGATGCTGTTTCACAGTCGTGATCGCAAGAAATTGAATAAGATCCTGTGACCATGCAAGCTGAAGCTGAGAATGCGCCTGTTTGATCAGAATAGCTCACAACAATCCATCTCATAACAATTCATTTCATGAACGCAGTGAACAGTATGAGGCAGCTTGTATTCTTGACCTTGACAACAAGTGTCTGTTTCATTGTGTGTGGCTTCCAACACATTCGAAGAAGCATGCCCAAAGGAAAAGGACCATTGTAGTTTTTTTAAAACCCCACACTGGTCTTCACCACCAACAATGACAGTCTTGTTGAAAGTGACCTTGATTATCATATCTTTGGACAGCAACACAACCAGAACTGCCGTTTCTGTCAGAAGGTTCTCAAGTTTTTCCACTTGATTGATAAAGATAGGCCATGGGTTTTAATAATGCTGCAGGCAGTCTTAGTTGTTCTGGTCCTTCTTTAGCGCAGCCATAATGGAATCATTCTTATACCTATCAAATACAGCAAACTCTGTCACGCGCCTTACTTACTATTATAACTGTAGCAACTAAATTATCTGCCAAGTCTCCAAATGACTTGTATTTTGGTGGCTAACCCTCCGCAGGTACTAGTGCCTGACCATCTATGCCGGCTATTCGGTATAATTCACTAAATATTCAACAAGAACGGCGCTGGAAGCAGTTCTAAGGGATCCATTTTTCTCACCAAGTGAAACTGGCACTGACATTTGCTCGTGTTCAAGAATAATATATAGGTTAAGTTCTCTCCCAACAACATATGCGCCAACACCCAACACGCACTGTTGGATGCTCCGGATAACTTTTATAGTTGTGATGAATGGTTTGAAAAACCGACAAGTTGAAGATTGAGACACTTATGCAGCATATATAAGCATATATGCTTATATATGCATATATAAGCCACGTCTACGGCCCTATGCAGTACATTCTACAAGATTGATGGACTGAACACATCGACTCCAGGTTGAGGGACTGATTACCTCATTCTCCTCCTCTCCTTACGCCTTCCTCTTTGTATTGGACTGATGAAGCCACTGTGTGGCGAAACGTTTCCTGAATAAAGATTCCCATATGCTGCATAAGTGTCTCAATCTTCAACTTTTATTCTTCCTGATTTTATTATGGAAGAGTTTCATGGTTGGGCTCTCACTTTCTTCTGTAGCTTTGATATGCCTATGTTTAGCAATATTTGTTTTAATTCACGAAATCTTAGTAAAGCCAGCTGGCCGAGTGGTTAACGCACTGTCCTGTGAGTTTTAGGATTCACTTGCCATGGGTTCAAGCCCAACCCGTTCCCTGATTTGATTAATATTGTTTTAATAAACCTAACCTTGAGGCATTCAGTAAAGATTCACAGATTTTTTCCTATGACCAAGTTTTCCATGGCATTTCTTTGCAAAACATCTAAAAGGTCTGCACCTCAGAAAAAATGAAATCACTTCAAAACAGAAAGAATGATGTTTTCTACTGTATTTCCTTCTGTCTGCTTGAGCAATCTTTACTGTGAGCTGATGCAGCAATATGAGACCTAATATAGCAGTAAAACAACAAGTGAAAATATTTAAGAATGAAGGAAGAGAGATAAAATGTAACAGCAGAGACGAATATGAAGAACTATACAGGAGTTTCAAGGTGTTTAAAGAGAAAATACAAGAAGAGCCAGATTTAATGGGTGATAACAGGGGCAATTGACCAGGGACATTCCCCCCCCGCCCCCACACACATTAGGGACTCCAGGGACATTCCCCCCCTCCCCGACACACATTAGGGACTCCAGGGACATTCCCCCCCGCCCCCACACACATTAGGGACTCCAGGACATTCCCCCCCCGCCTCACACACATTAGGGACTCCAGAGACATTCCCCCCCCGCCCCCACACACATTAGGGACTCCAGGACATTCCCCCCCGCCCCCACACACATTAGGGACTCCAGAGACATTCCCCCCCGCCCCCACACACATTAGGACTCCAGGGACATTCCCCCCCCGCCCTCACACACATTAGGGACTCCAGGGACATCCCCCCCCCCGCCCCCACACACATTAGGGACTCCAGGGACATTCCCCCCCGCCCCCACACACATTAGGGACTCCAGGGACATTCCCCCCCCCGCCCCCACACACATTAGGGACTCCAGGGACATTCCCCCCCCGCCCCCACACACATTAGGGACTCCAGGGACATTCCCCCCCCGCCCCCACACACATTAGGGGCTCCAGGGACATTCCCCCTCCCCCCGCCCCCAAACACATTAGGGACATTCCCCCCCCGCCCCACACACATTAGGGACTCCAGGGACATTCTCCCCCCCGCCCCCACACACATTAGGGACTCCAGGGACATTCCCCCCCCCGCCCCCACACACATTAGGGACTCCAGGGACATTCCCCCCCGCCCCCACACACATTAGGGACTCCAGGGACATTCCCCCCCCCCGCCCCCACACACATTAGGGACTCCAGGGACATTCCCCCCGCCCCCACACACATTAGGGACTCCAGGGACATTCCCCCCCCGCCCCCACACACATTAGGACTCCAGGGACATTCCCCCCCGCCCCCACACACATTAGGGACTCCAGGGACATTCCCCCCTCGCCCCCACAGACATTAGGGACTCCCTTTGATGAGTAATCTATACTTCTAAAACAAATATTAATTTATAATGGATAATAATAATAATAATAATAATAATAATAATAATAATAATAATAATAATAATAACACCAGGAAGGAGTACCTTCAAATGACTACCTGACAATAAAAAAATCGTCCTCCTAAACCGTCGTTTATAACTTAATGCCACATTTGAGAGTTTCTTCTGAACAGCTATATTAATACATTCAAGAAAGATGTATTCTAATTAGAAAAGGGTTAGGACTGTCTTTTTTTTAGTGTGTAGGTTAGGTTAGGTTAGGTTAGGTTAGGTTAGGTTAGGTTAGGTTAGGTTAGGTTAGGTTAGGTTTGTCCGGAAACAGGACAAGTGTTTCCTGACGCGGGTCTTAGTCATATGATGACCCACAGCTGGAGCTTTGACCATCTGACCGAGGCCTTCCGCTGGCTTACCGGTCCACCCCTTCAAAAATTACCATATATATATAATATATATATATATATATATATATATATATATAATATATATATATATATATATATAATATATATATATATATATATATATATATATAAAAATATGGAGAACTTGCCCATCATTATATGTTTGTTCCCATAGGCTCAGAGACCCTTGGCTCATGGGGAAAGAGTGCATCTAATTTCCTTAAGGAGCTGGAAAAAGACTCATCAGGTAACTAGGGATCCCAGGCAGCTAGTTTTCTGTTCCAGCGGCTCAGTGCGGCTGTTCAAAGGAGTAATGCATGCTGCATTTTGGGCACACGCCCCACTCTGAGGAGCTGGATGAATTTTCGCCTTATAATCGGTGATACACACGTAACAACATGTACCGTATATGCCACCTTTATATCAACAATGTATCTCTTAAATCTTCTGTGCCATATCATGTAAAAATAATATATATATATATATATATATATATATATATTATATATATATATATAATATATATATATATATATATATATATATAATGTCGTGCCGAATAGGCACGTCTCCCACCGAGGCAGGGTGACCCAAAAAAGAAAGAAAATCCCCAAAAAGAAAATACTTTCATCTTCATTCAACACTTTCACCACACTCACACATTATCACTATTTTTGCAGAGGCGCTCAGGATACAACAGTTTAAAAGCATATACGTATAAAGATACACAACATATCCCTCCAAACTCCCAATATCCCAAACCCCTCCTTTAAAGTGCAGGCATTGTACTTCCCATTTCCAGGACTCAAGTCCGACTATATGAAAATAACCGGTTTCCCTGAATCCCTTCACTAAATATTACCCTGCTCACACTCCAACAGATCATCAGGTCCCAAGTATCATTCGTCTCCATTCACTCCTGTCTAACATGGTCATGCATGCTTGCTGGAAGTCCAAGCCCCTCGCCCACAAAACCTCCTTTACCCCCTCTTTCCAACCCTTTCGAGGACGACCCCTACCCCTCCTTCCTTCCCCTATAGATTTATATGCTTTCCATGTCATTCTACTTTGATCCATTCTCTCTAAATGACCAAACACACCTCAACAACCCCTCTTCTGCCCTCTGACTAATGCTTTTATTAACTCCACACCTTCTCCTAATTTCCACACTCCGAATTTTCTGCATAATATTTACACCACACATTGCCCTTAGACAGGACGTCTCCACTGCCTCCAACCGTCTCCTCGCTGCTGCATTTACCACCCAAGCTTCACATCCATATAAGAGTGTTGGTACTACTATACTTTCATACATTCCCTTCTTTGCCTCCATAGATAACGTTTTTTGACTCCACATATACCTCAACGCACCACTCACCTTTTTTCCCTCATCAATTCTATGATTAACCTCATCCTTCATAAATCCATCCGCCGACACGTCAACTCCCAAGTATCTGAAAACATTCACTTCTTCCATATTCCACCTCCCCAATTTGATATCCAATTTTTCTTTATCTAAATCATTTGATACCCTCATCACCTTACTCTTTTCTATGTTCACTTTCAACTTTCTACCTTTAACACACATTCTCAAACTCATCCACTAACCTTTGCAATTTTTCTTTAGAATCTCCCATAAGCACAGTATCATCAGCAAAAAGTAACTGTGTCAATTCCCATTTAGAATTTGATTCCCCATAATTTAATCCCACCCCTCTCCCGAACACCCTAGCATTTACTTCTTTTACAACCCCATCTATAAATATATTAAACAACCATGGTGACATTACACATCCCTGTCTAAGACCTACTTTTACCGGGAAGTATTCTCCCTCTCTTCTACACACCCTAACCTGAGCCTCACTATCCTCATAAAAACTCTTAACATCATTTAGTAACTTA